TAGCCTCAGGCAAATAGAAGCAGAGGAGTGCAACCTTTACTAAGAACAGGGCAATATAAGCTTAAACAATAAGAAAAGATATGCTATAACAAGATAGTCATTAACGTTCAGCATACAAACGGAGGAATAAAGACAACAATGACTGAAAAGAAGAGGATTCAAAGATCCAAAGGGAATGGAAATAAGACATGCACATAAGAAAATGGATGACTGCACATATATATAACTATCCTTTACATATTCATAACGGTAACCACACGTCAAAGATTCAGAACAGAAGTATATAACATAAAACAAGAAGGACCAGAGGCAAAACTCACAAAACCCAACCAAAATAAAGAAAACAGAAACACAAGGACAAGGAAGCATTGGTAACATTGAGCTACCAGAAAACAAAAGATAAAATGGCTATAAGAAGACCACATATGGCAATAATCATCTTAAATGTAAATGGACTTAACTCACCAATAAAAAAGCATGGATTTCCAGAATGGATCAAAAAACAAAACCCAACCATCTGCTGCCTCCAGGAGACACATCTCAGCTCCAAAGACAAATATAGACTCAAAGTGAAAGGTTGGAAAATGATATTTTAAGCACATGGCATTCAGAGGAAAGCTTGAGTGGCAGTATTAATATCAGATGAAATAGATTTCAAAATAAAAAAAGTAAGAGAGACACTACATAATGATAAAGGGAATCATGCACCAAGAAGACATAACACTTATTAATATCTTTACTCCTAATCAGGGAACCCTAAAATATATAGTGCAATTACTAACAAAACTGAAGGGAGAAACAGACCAAAACACAATCATAGTAGAGAACATAAATACCCCATGGTCGGATATGGAGAGATCATCCAAACAAAAAATCAACAGGGAAATAACATCCTTAAATGACACAATAGAACAGCTGGATATAAATGACATTTACAGAGCCTTTCATCCCCAAATAGCTGCTGATACATTCTTCTCTAGAGCACATGGAACATTCTCAAAGATTGACCACAAACTGAGACAAAGAGATAGCCTCAACAAATATAGGAGGGTTGAAATCATACCAACCATATCCTCTTACCATAATGCTTTGAGACTAGATATCAACTGTGAAAAGAAAGCAGGAAGAACTGCAAATACATGGAGATTAAACAACATACTACTACTGAAGAATAAATAGGTCAGAGAAGAAATAAAAAGAGAGATCAACAGATACATAGACACAAATGATAATGATAGTACTACATATCAATTTTTGAGATACAGGAAAAACAGTCATAAGAAGAATGTTCATATCATTACAGGTCAATCTCAAGAAACAAGAAAAAGCCCAAATAAACAATCTAACGCTTCATCTTAAAAAGCTAGAAAAGGCAGAAGAAATGGGGCAAAATCGGTATAGAAGGAAAGGACCCTAACATAATAAAGTCCATGTATGGCAAACCCTCAGCTAACATTATACTTAATGGTGAAAAACTAAAAATTTTCCCTCTAAGATTAGGAACAAGGCAAAGCTGTCCACTATTGCCAGTTGTTCAATATAACAATGGAGGTACTAATGAGTGCAATCAGGCAAGAGAAAGATATAAAAGACATCCAAATAAGAAACAAAGTAGTTGAACTGTCAACATTTGCAGATGACATGATTCTCTGTATACAAAACCCTAAAGATGTCATAAGAACGCTACTAGAAAAAATAAGCAAATACAGTAAAGATTCTGGATACAAAATCAATGTTCAAAAAATCCATAGCATTCCTATACTCTAATAATTAAGTGTCAGAAAAAGAAATGGAAAACAATTCCTTTTGCAATTGCAACAAAAAGAATAAAATTCCTAGGAATAAATTTAATGAAACATGTGAAGGATCTATATAATAAAAATTTTAAGACCCTATTAAAGGTAATAGAAGAAGATACCAAGAAATGGAAAGATATTCCGTGTTCTTGGATTGGAAGAATCAACATAGTTAAAATGACCATATTACCTAAAGCATCATTCAGATTTATTCCAATCTTCTGCCAATACCATGCTGTTTTGATTATTGCCACTTTGTAGTATAATTTGAAGTTAGGCAGTGCGATACCTCTAGCCTTGTTCTTTTTCCTTAAGATTGCTTTGGCTATTCAGGGTCTTTTGTGATTCCATACAAATCTGTTGACTTTTTTGTTTTATTTCTTTAAAAAATGCCATTCAGATTGGAAAACCATATGCAAAAGAATGAAACTATACTGCTATTTGTTACCATACACAAAATTAACTCAAAATGGATCAATGGATCAATATAAGACCTAAAACAATAAGATGCATGGGAGAAAACATGTGTACTAAACTTAGGAACCTTGGACTCAGAGACGATTTTATGAATTTAACCTCGAAGGCAAAGGAAATAAAAGCAAAAACAAATGAATGAATGATACTACATCAAACTAAAAAGCTTCTGCACAGCAAAAGAAACCATCAACAAGGTAAAGAGACAACCATCCAAATGGGAAAATATATTTTCAAGCAATGCCTCCCATAAGGACCTAATAGCCAAAACATACGAAGACCTCATACAACTCAAGAACAACAACAACAAAAAAAATCAAATGATCCCATTAAAAAATGGGCAGAGGACCTAAACAGACACTTCTCCCTAGAGGACATACAAATGGCCAAGAAATATATGAGAAGATGCTCAACATCACTAGCTATTAGGGAAATGCAAATCAAAAGCACAATGAGATACCATCTTACACCTGTTAGAATAGCTATAATCAGCAGGACAAGTAATAACAAATGTTGGAGAGGATGCAGAGAAAACGGAATCCTTTTGCATTGTTAGTGGGACTGCAAATTGGTACAGCCACTATGGAAAACAGTACGGAGGTTCCTCCAAAAAGTAAGAATTTATCTACCATATGATCCAGCAGTCCTTCCACTGGGTAGTTATCCCCAAAATTGAAAACCCATATCTGAAAAGATATTTGCATACCAATGTTTATAACACCAATATTCACTGTGGCCAGGACATGGAAGCAATCCAAGTGTCCTATGATAGATGATTGAATAAAGAAACTGTGGTATATTTATACATGAAATACCATTCAGCCATAAGAAGAGATGAAATACTGCCATTTGTGACAACTTGGATAGACCTTGAGATAATCATGCTAAGGGAAATAAGGAAATGAAAAAAGTTGAAAATTACATGATATCACTTATATGTGGGATATAAACCTAAAAGCAACAAATTAACAGGGAAACAAATAGAGACTCATGGGCATGGACAATAGACTAGTGGTTATCAGCCGGTAGGATGGAGCTGGGTAGTGGGAGATAGACGAGGTAAAGGGATACGTAAATTGTTATCCTTATGTAATGGAAAATTTCTTATATTTGAAATGAACTTTTTTTTAGTTTGGATATCAGGAAAAGGACAATACTTATTTTTAAATTTTAATAAAGATTGTATACAACAATTTTCTTAGCCATCAATTTTATCTTTCCATGTTGCTCTAGTTATCTCCATTAAAATACAAGTTTTCTACTTGAATAACTTGCCAAAGTTTAATATTGTGGTTAAAAATTCTTCTAGAAAGATAAAAAGAATGATTCACATTTAATACTATGTATCTTTCATATACTTGCAGAACTTCATTCTACCAACCAGTTCATACAAATTTGGTTCCATTTACTGGTCAGAAACAAAGGAAAATTCATATTGGTCTAAAATAGTTAATTTTGGCAATACATATACTGAAATTGGAACAATTCAGAGAAGATTAGTATGGCCCCTGCACAAGGATGACAGTAAGTTCATGAAGGATTCCATATTTTTAGTACAGTGTAGGAAATATAGTCAATAATGTTGTAATAACTATGTATAGTGCCTGGTGGGTACTAGACTAATTGGGAGGATTACTTCGTAAATTATATAAATGTCTAACCACTATGCTGTGCACCTGAAACTACTATGAAATGACATTGAATTTTAACTCTAGCTGAAAAATAATAATTAAAAAAAAACAATTGCAGAGAGAAAAAATGAAGTAAAATAGCTACTTTTACAAGGAAATACAAGCATAAGTTCTTCACAATGATTCAGAAAGTCTCCTTTATAAGGCAGGTTTATATACCGCCTAATTTAGTGTTATAGCTATTCCAGTAGTATTTTGAAAAGGAGAAAATTAATGTTTACCAAAGGGAGTAGATCATAGATTAAGCAATATCAAGAGACCGGCTTTAGACCAAGTCAGGTTAAAAAACCTAACAAGCTTCGACGATGGAGTTTTGACTATCTCATTGATTTGTTCTAAAAACCACAATGAAAATGTGCAATGCAGAGCAAATTTTGCATACCTGGTTTAGAATTTGTCTTGTAAAATAGGTTCTCTGATCACGGTGGGGCTCTGTGGGGAAATTTTTAGCACAAATAAATCTTTTCTCAAAGTATTTTAATAACTGCTGCATCTGTAGTGATTTGAAATGGTAATGTTTTTTCCCATTGAGACTACATACAAATCATCACTGGTACATTTTTTTATCCTTGAAAAAAGGAAAAGTGGATTAAAGTCCACTTTCAAAACCTCAAGTAGGCTTAATTAGTTTTATTTTCCCCTTTTGTAAAGAGAGATTTCCTTACTTTAGTAATCCATTTAATTGTGGTAACAATAAAAAATTTCAAAAGCAGTTACAGAAAGTTAAATGGTTGAATGCAAAATATAGGTCTTTTAATATTAATAATTGGTTTAGTTGAGCAATGAAAGACCTGACAAAGCAGAGGACTGGAAATAATATTAATAAAAGATAAAATCTTTACTTTCCATTTGTTTTTTGTTGTTGTTTGTTGTTGTTGTTTTTTGTTGTTGTTTTTAAAGAGCATACCAATAGCACAGGGAAAGAACCAAACTCTAATTTTGCATCAGCTTAATTTTGATATATAAATTTACTTAAATTTATTTTATTCTATTTAACTTAACCACACATAAAATTTCTTTCTCAATATTCCTTTCTCACAAACCATCTACATTTTTTCTTGTCCCTGTTAGTTTGCCCCTTCTTACTTATTCAGAAATAATATTTTTTAGGATAAACTTTTAAAAATTTTAGTTCTCTCAAAAATGTATTTCCATGCTTTATACATTATTATTTTTTTTTACTGAAGATATATTATTTACGTATTTACGTATTATTATTTACGTATATGTTAATTAAAATTCTTAACTCTTAGAAACCTTAATTTCTAATGACAACTAAAAATTAAGCAATCAGCATTTTGGCAAATAGATTGGCAAATGTATAAATATATTTCATAACCTCTAAAAACATATTATTTTACTGGCAAATATATTTCATCATTTTTTAAAGTATTTGCTTCATCAACAAAGCACAAAACATTTTTATTAACAGATTGAAATTTATCTTTTAGTTTCTCTGCAATAAGAATTCAAAAGAAGATAAAGTTATTGCACCATTAATGTTTCAATATTGTATTTCATTTGAAAATGGTTTATATATTTAATAAATTTAATGAAATATCTTGTCTCATCATTTAACTTAACTTGGTAAAACTTTAAGGTTTCAAGTTACCACAATATTTTGGAGACTATTTTTAAGTATATATATCTTATTTATAACATACATACATAGACATATATAAACACACAGAGATCTCATGGCTTTCATTTTAAAATGCTAGTTTTTCTTCTCCAGGTAAAATAATACAATACTCAAAAGAAAAACTAAATTCAAATTATTTTTCAATAAATTAAGGTAAGATTTTGTACAGATGGCCATAGCTTTGCATGTAGTAAGAATTTCTTTAAAGCCATTTTAAAATCAAATTATAATCAATTAAATAATTTATTCTATTGTCTGCGAGTAGGTTCAGAGACTCTCTTTTAAGAGTGTTCTTTAAGGTGGACTTACTGACAAACAAAAACAAAAAGAAATAGAAAGCATGTGTGCACATTAAAGTTTGAAAGCTCAGAACACAAGAACAGCAGCCTCCAAAAGCCTGATTTAAAAGGGACAGATTTTCCTGTTAGAAGATAACACCTGGATGGAGCCTGTGCGAAGATGGCTGCTTCCACATGTCTAAACAAGATGATTGCTACATATCTGGAGACAAAGAAGATGGAGAAGGGTAAGACAAACCTCAGAAACTATTTTTACTTCTTTCAATTGTTCATTTACCTTGATTATTTTAGAGTCCTGAATATGTTTAGAAGCCTCAAGGTACCACTTAATATAAGTATGCCATCCATTTTAGAGATGCAGTTTTCTAATTAAGTTTTGAGAAAAGCAAGTTTGAGGAGGTAAAAGTTCTCTATAATGGCCAATATTGCTGTAAATCATACCAGGTAATTTTTGTCTAAAGACCTAGCCAGTTACAATTTTATCATGGGTTACCCATTTTCACTCACTTACTCGATGAAGGCATCCCCTCAAATGCGAGTATCCTCACAAAATTTATGGACAAAGTTGAGTCTGAGCCTTATGGATGAGGTCCACCACTGTATATGTGGACAAATCTCTAACCTAGATGAAGGCTTCTCTGAGGTACTCCATGTAGACAAATGGTGATGGACAAACTGAATTTTGAGTCTCTAACTTGAAAACAAAAAGAGACAGAAACTTTGTATCTGAATCTCCTGCTCAGATGAGTGGAAGCTGGCAAACAGTAAAAGAGAACAGAGAAAGAATGCTCAAATCAAGGCTAGAACTTCAACAAAGGAAAGAGATTGGGATCCAGGAGGGCTTATCGCCAAATGCAGAGATCACCAGAGGAGATGGTAGAGAACAAGGGTCTCTCACCAGTACTTTGCATGAATCCACAGCAGTGCCACGATCAAAAGACAGTCCCTCTGGATCCTGTTGTTGTCAATGTGACTCTAAACCAAAATTAATTTTGACTGTAATAAGAACAAAACACTTATTTGAGCAAAAGAAACTGCAGCTCAGGAGATGCAGGTTCAGGTAGCAACTTAAATTGTGTTCTGTTGAGACAAAGGGTAGGCTGCCTTTTAAAGTGAAAGTTCCCATCCACGTTCCCTAGCTCCATTTTATGTAAATGAGGTATCCAAATTATATACTTCTGACTTTTCCAAATTGCATAGTCCTGGATGGTCAACATTATGCATCCTGATTGGTCATTATGGAGCAGTTCTGATCTTAGTCCAGAAGGTTGAAAGGCAAAACCAGGATCTCCTAAAAATAGTTGACTCAGACAGCATAAATGAGCAGAATATAGTGCAGGAAGTTGTGAGTTCAGTGTGATGTTCTTCCTATTATACAGAATATGTGAGAAGCCCTTGTCAGCAAATGGCCACTATACTCTTATTATTCATAACATTTAAGCCCTCAGTTGACTATGGGGAGTCCGTCTCGGCAGATAAATTCCATCTTAAGATTCACATCAAAGGATACTTTCTTCTCGGGACCCACACTTTTAAGTTTAGAATGTGAATGAGCACCACTGAATTAGATAAGATTTTTCCAAAGTAGCAGTTAGGTATACTGGGCTAAAACCCAGAAATGTAATTTCTAATGTAGAGATATTTCTTTATCCTCTTCGTGCCTACTGGAAGGAAGCTATTAGAATGAATGAAAATACTTAGATATTGTCAAGTATCTTATGGCTAAAGGGAGACAAATGGTAATGCAACTTTATGTTACCCTATAGATAGTACTGAAACTCTTTTTTCTAAATAGACTATTTGGAAAATTGAGATAGAGTATTAAAATTAATATCTTCCTATGGCATGAAATCCTCACTTGAGATGTTTACATTCATATTATTATTAATTGACAATTTCTCAAATATTTTTTTCAAAATTATTAGCACATTGATATCTTGATCCGACATTTATTAAAATAATAACTTTAGATTCTAAATTTCAGAACAAAATTTGGAGATTCTGCTCTTCCAAGAGTTAGTTAATGAAATGTTCACAAGCAAGAAAGATATCAGTCAGGAAATTATATATATATATATATATTATATTAGATTCTATCTACTTTCTACTAAAGGTAAGATAATAAAATTATCAGATGTTACCTGGATGGATTTCTTGGCCCTGCAAAAGTAAAGCTTACCTATTTAAGTGTTGAACTTCATATTAGTCAAGGTTTCCCAGAGAAGCAGAACCAATAGGATGTGTACAATAGATAGACATATAGATTTTAAGGAATTGACTTTTATGATTTTGAAGGTTGACAAATCCAAAATTCTACAGGTCAGGTGTGCAGGCTGGTGACACAGAGAAGTGTTGATGCTGCAAGAGGAAAAAGGAAGTTTGGAGACAGAATTTCTTGCTTCTTGCTTCTTGAGAGACCTCAATCTTTTTTTTTTTTAAGGACTTGAACTAATTGGATGATTCTCATCCACGTTATATAGAATAATTTGCTTTATTTAAAGTTTACTGATTTAAATATTAATCTCATCCAGAAAATTTCTTCACCCCAATATTTAGACTGGTGTTTGACTAAATATCTATGTACCCTGACTTAGCCAAGTTAACAAAAATAACCATCACAAACTCTTTTAATGTTTAAAGTAGAGATTCAAGACCACACTGCCATCTTCAGGAGAGGTAGAAAATAGGAGGATTGCTCACAGTTAAGCACAATAGACAAAACCTTCTATCTATTGAAGTAATTTTATACCAATATTATTAAAAGTGACAGCATCCAGTTAATTTTTTCTCTTTCTTAATTGTGTCACTATAAAGGAGCTTTTATTCTCTTTAAGGGTAGTATGAAGTAACAAGAAGAAATTCTTAAAATAATATCAGGATAATATATTAGTAGACAAATAAGATAAGACAAGAGAACATA